TTCGACTTCATACCAGCCCATCATGAAGTACACATTCAAATGATTTATTAAATTCAACTATCTCCTTATAAAAAAAACAAGGACATATTAAATTCAATTAACAAAAAGGAGAAAGGAAAATAGAAATTTCCTTAAAACAAATTGAGGACAATCTTTGATTAAAAATAAAATAGGGTTTTGTTCATATTTCAGCAAGCAAGATTAAAGCAATTCAGAAATCTTTTCTCAGTTCACCCCTCTTGGGATCTTTGTTATCAGGCCCTTTATCTTATCTACTGTCCTCAGAGCTTCTTCTTTTTAAAAAAATATATTTTTATTGATTTCAGAGAAGAAGGGAGAGGGAAAAGGAGAAACATCAATGATGAGAAAGAATCATTTATTGGCTGCCTCTGGTACCCCCCTGCAACCCGGGCATGTGCTCTTGACTGGAATTGAACCTGGGACCCTTCAGTTCACAAGCCAACGCTCTATCCACTGAGCCAAACCCGTGAGGGCCCTTGAAGCTTCTTAAGGGCAATGACCCAGTGTCTCGTTTGCTTTTATCACTAGTGCCTAACACTCTGCCTAACACATAATAGGTATTTAAATATTGATCGAATGAATGAAGGAAGGAATGAATTGCTGTTCAGATCAAATTTAAATTCCAGGGATTCAAGCCCACCTTACCAATCTAATCAAATTTACCTCCCACCAACACACAACACCCTCTTTCTAACTAACCCGGTTTGTCCCTGTCCTCAGAACAGACCTATACTCATCTCTGCCTTCTCACTTGTGATCAAGCTATGCACTCCAAATGAAATGCCCTACCTCCTCTTCTTTATGTACCCATTTTTCCTGTCCCATCTGCTCTGAGTCCTTTCCTAATTTGTCTGCTCCACATTAAATTTTTCTCTACTTCCCACAAGCATATATTCTGATACTTTTCCTATCTTCATTTCATGAGAAAGAATCCTGTCTCTGAAATTTAAATACCATAATCTTCTTGAAGACAGGTACCATATCATATACACTTTACTATCACCTACTGTATAGCATAGAACAAACCTAGCACAGTATTGGAATATAATAGGCACCTAATAAATACTGTTATGTTTATTCCTAATTTACACACCAACAACATCAAAAAATTCAGGCTGTCCAGCTGGTGTGGCTCAGTGGATGAGTGTCAAACTATGAACCTGAGGAATCACCCATTCGATTCCCTGTCAGAGCATATGCCCAGTTTATGGGCTCAAACCCCAGTGTGGGGCATGCTGGAGGCAGCTGATCGATGATTCTCTCTCATCATTAATATTTCTTTCTAGCCTTCTCCCTTCTCTGAAATCAATAATATATATATATATATATATATATATATATTTTTTTTTTTTTTTTTTTTTTTTTTTTTTTAAACTCAGGCATTTCATAATAAAATAAAGATAAAAATCATGGTGACTGGAGAAAACAAAGATAACAAAATACCTAGGCCCGTGGTCAGCAAACTGCAGCTCACAAACCACATGCAGCTCTTTGGCCCCTTGAGTGTGGCTCTGCCATAATACCATGGCCTGAGCGACTTTATTCTGAAGAAGTGGTGTTAGAAGAAGTTTAAGTTTAAAATGTGGCTCTCAAAAGAAATTTCAATCATTGTACTGTTGATATTTGGCTCTATTGACTAATGAGTTTGCCTACCACTGACCTGGGCCATTAAAGTCATTTTATTTGAATACTAGTGGCACGGTGCACGAAATTTGTGTGTGTGTGTGTGGGGGGGGGGTCCCCCTCACCCCAGCCTGCACCTCCTCCAATCTAGGACCCCTCAGGGGGTGTCCAACTACCGGACATCCCTCTCATAATCCAGGACTACTGACTCCTAACTGCTCACCTGACCGCCTGCCCAACTGGCCCTAATCACACTGCCTGCTGGCCTGCTTGCCCCCAACTGCCCCTTCCCCCCAACAGCCTACTTGCCAACTGCTCCCCTGCCAACCTGCTCATCCACAATGGCCCCTCCACACCAGCCTTATCACCCATAACTGCCGTCCCATCCTGGCCTGATCACCCACAACTGTCCTCCCCTCTTGGCCCCAAACCACCTCCACCCTCGGCCCTGCCACCATGGCTTTGTCCAGAAGAACATCCAGAAGGTCTCCTGGAAGGTCTCCCAGTCTAATTAGCATATTACCCTTTTATTAGTATAGATTAACCCTCACTCTGATCTTTCATAATCTTGGACTTTGCTTTAAAAAAAAAAAAAAGACTATACAAAAAGGAGAAAGAAGAATGAAGTTATGATGAAACTCAAGAATAATGATTTGGGATACCTGGGCGTGGGAGGAATTCCTAGTGTCAAAGAAAAGGACAGACTCATGGCTCCTTATCTCTGGGACTGTTCTTGTTCATCAGTCTATATTGTTCACCATTTCCCCTAGGTGAGTGAGATCATGTCCTACTGGAAATATAATTATAAGAATAAAAAGTAAGACAAGCAATAATCATTATGCTGAAAGGCAAATGAATCAGTCTGTAGTTTCTTTCTGGTTAGAATCTCTTTATTAATACTTAACTATAACATCTTTTTTTAAAAATTTCTTTATTGGGTAGGCTCATATGTATGCACATGAGTCCTTTGGTTGATCTCTCCCTTTTATCCCACCGTCCCTTTTATCCCCAGCCTAACCAATGGTCAAGGACAATAGGGGGTGGGGATGGGGGAATGAGTGGGAGGGGGGGGGTTGGAAGATTGGAATGGGGGGCTGAGGACACATATGTGATATCTTAATCAATAAAGAAATTTAAAAAGAAAAAAAAAGAAAAAAGAAAAGATTCTAGAGTCTAGAAAACACTGAGCCACTTTAGTTGCTCAAAAGCCAACAATCCAAGTTAGGAATTTAAGAGGGAGACAAAACATAACTCTATTTTATAACAGAAATCAATGGGAAGGTATAAATTTGATTATAAAATAAGAGTATCTGTAAAAATAAATATCTTTTATATTTTTGGCATAACTACTTCCAAAGTATTTTCACAACTAGTATCTCATTTTATCCCCAATCTTCACATAACTCCCACTAAGAAGACAGACATTTAAATTCATATTTTACAGACAGAGACACAGAAATACATTAAAAGTATCTTAATTCTCACAATCTCTTCTACCCGTTTCCCCTTATTTCCATCTTCACACTATTCCAGTTAGGATTCCTGTTGCCTCTTTCCTGAATATTGGCAACCATGTCGTATCATTCTCCCAGCCTCCACCTCTAAGGCAGCCTCCACCTTTGCCAGGTAATCTTCCAAAAGTACAGCTCTGAGTATATCACTCCCCCTTACTCCTATTCCCCTCAACCCACACCCTCTTGCCTCCATTCAGGCTATTCCCCTGACCCTAAATGCCCTATTTCATCTCTGTCTGTTGGGATCCTACCCTATATCTAAGGCTCAACCAAACCCTATTTTTCTCCATTATGCCCTTTAGTCATCTCTTTCCATCAACTCAACAGGTGCTAGAGGTTGTGATAGGTTCTCATTAAATATTTGTTGAATTTTAAGATCTAGTCAATACTCCTCCCCACTAGACTCCAAATTATCCATCTTCTGAGATAATGTGATCTCAAAAAGAAGCCTAATTAGTATGCCATCATGGTTACTGAGCTGGTACCAGATGATAGGGTCTTGTAACAGTTATTAAAGAGAGAAAATAGAATATTGTTTTGAAAGGCCTGTAAGTGGATAAGAGCTATTAAAAACATCAATCAAATTGAAGGAAATATTGAATGGCATAAGCAGATGCCATTACTAAATACAGTAGGGTGTTTTGTTTTTTTTAAATTTAAGACATAGTTCTTACATTATTTTTTAGCAACAAGGCTGACATAAGAGCAACACTTACTAAGTTAAATATTAATAAAAATCTTAAATAGGAGAGGATAGCATCACAAAGCGAAGCTGGTATAGAATATTTCCAGATCACTTAAAACTCTGCTCCCAGCCCCACCTTCCTTTCTCACTAATCCACTTCACAGATGACTATTTTATTATCACCTTTATTTTCTCCCTAGCTCTCTACCCAATCTCAATCCTTTATTACTAAACATCAAATACATGAAGTAGGTAAAAGCAGATGAACAGTTACTCCAAAAAGATGTTATAACATTTTTCTCTTCTTCAATTAAAAATGTTCTTTAGAATACAGGGAAAGCCCAGGATTAAAAAATGTAGATAACTATTATCTAAAGAAAAAAGCAACATCCTTAAAAATTCGATTTTGCCCAGTTCATGGTACAATAATGAATTAGCAGCTACTTAGTAGAAAAAAAATCTGGATAAACCCATTTAATAACTACAGAAAAAGTGACCATCCTATATAATAAAAAAGTAATATGCAAATTGACCATCACTCCAACATACAAAATGGCCACCCCCATGTGGTCAAATATGGATGCCCCCGTGTGGACACAAGATGGCTGCCACAAGATGGCCGGCAGGAGAGGGCAGTTGTGGGCGATCAGGCCTGCAAGTGAGGGCAATTGGGAGGGACCAGGCCTGTAAGGAAGGGCAGTTGGGAGCAAACAGATCTGCAAGGGAGGGCAGATGGGGAGGAGGGAAAGGGGCCAGGCCTGCAGGGGAGGGCAGTTGGGAAGACCAGGCCTGCAAGGGAGAACAGTTGGGGTGACCAGACCAGCAGGAGAGAGCAGTTGGGTGGGGGTCCAGGCCTGCAAGGGAGAACAGTCGGATATCCCTCGAGGGGTCCCAGATTGGAGAGGGTACAGGCTGGGCTGAGGGACAGTGTCTACCCCCCTTCCCCCCAACACACATACACACACAAATTTCATGCACAGGTCCACTAGTTTAGAATAAGTGTCCACTAAGCTTTAACCATGGATAAGTGACCATCACTTTCTTTTAGGAAACCCAAATAAAAAACAAGTTTCTGATTGGAATGTACTTCAGCTCTGTAGAAAACCCAAGTCTGAATTGTTTTCACTCTTCACACAGGCCAGCTCAGAATGACTTACGGAGTTCATTTCCTTCACTGAGAATCTCCACCCGGCGTACAAGCTGCTCAAACAGATTCCGCAAATTCAGCATCGTAGTATCCATCTTTCTGCCAAGAAATCAAATATACATTAGGGGTCCTGCCTTCTCCTCAGACAAAAGATTCAATCACAATCCAGTACAGACATCAGTAACTAACATCTGGTCTCTTCCATTTGTAGCTACCATTATAAGAATCACAAGTCAACAATCTGTGTAATCCTTATTATAAAAACAAAGTTGGAATGTTTAATACTCATTTGAAAATTAGAAAATCATTTTAGACCTTTAATTATAATACCCTCTTCCTGCCTACTGCTTTTCCTCCACTCTGCAATCACTACAGAACTGAGAGGAGAGCAATTAGGGACAAGCATGTCCGTTGATCACTAGGTGACAAAATACAAAATGTGGTTCTTAGTCAAGCATACTGATTAATAACACTTCTACCACTTTAATCCTTCTGGACACTTAAGACCTTTAAGATAACTTAAAGGTTTATTTTTAATTTCATTTTTAGCTAGTACCCCTGTTGCATCTGCCTTTTACAATGCAGGACATGGTCAGCACATTTTCTACCAACAGAACAGATGACGTCACACAAGTGATTAAGTGAGGAAATCGCCAGCTCAGCAGCACAAGAATTATTTCTGTAATGCAGGGCTCTCTGCTAGACTGCATGCAGGGACTATGTCTAATAAATTTATACTAAGTATAGGCAAAGGCTTATGTTATACCACATTCTGGCATCAAGGAGACAATACACCACCTTCACAGTTAGAAGGGCAAAGGAAAAATCATTTGCTACTGTGTTCTGTATAGTGAATTTCAGGGTTGGTATTTTCCCCAAAGACCTGCTGATATTACATTAAAAATGGTGTCCTTTCTAGCAGTTTTGCTCCAAATAGACTTTAAGTGGGAACACTTTGAGAAAATAAGCTCTTCATTTAACAGTCAAAGAAGAAAGACAACAACTAGATATTACATAAAATATCAATAAAATTTAAAAATGTAAATTCATGTAAAAGCTGAACATCTTAAGAAATACCATTAAAGGATTATTCTTATGTTTCTACATTCTAGTCCAGGTCCTTATTTCTTACTCTAAATAAAATCTGAGGAACTATTTTATGACGGTTTAGTGATTTTATAATGTTTATAAGATTATGCCATATGCTATGAGGGCAAGAAAGAAAAAGAAAACCAACCACAAAGAACAAAAGAATATATAAAGAGATTTTCTATTAAATGCTACAGAATTATTCATTTGTACTTTGTATAATTGCTCTAATAGCAAAAGAAGCTTTTAATTCCAAGCTTGGATGCAATATATACCTGAACTAGGGCTGGAAACCAAGATTTTCAAATGGCAATGTATCTGTTCCAAGCTACATGAACACAGCTAGCTGCTAAGCAACCAGACCAACAAATTTATTACAAAGATCTTTCTCTAAACTAAGAACAAAACTAAAATAATAGCATTGAAACTGGCAGGAAGATATCTGGAAGTTATGGAGAAACCCATGGATTTTACAATATGACAAAGCAGGCAAATACATTCAAATTCTATGGGAAAGAAGCAAGAATGGGGCACTCAAGACCCTACTCAAATTATTTCCTTTAGCTCCCTGTGAAAATGGAATTTACTGATCACTTTTAATATGGATATTTATTTCTATCATTTCAGCATTCATCTGTATATTCTGAGACTATAAGTTCAGACCTAGGAAAATTGACGAAGAATGCAAAAAAGGAGTATTTCACAGTGCAACTAGAGTACCAAAAACTGGTTAGTATTTTTTTTCCAGGAAGTTTTTATGTCTTAAATGGCAATACAAAAACCTGATCCTTTGCCCCTTTATAAGAAATCCTCACATTTTCTCAAGTTCCTCTAGTCCATTATTCTTCTTTCCTATTTTTGTGTGCATGCCACTACCTAGAGAGAGGGTTTAGGGGAGGTACTCTCTTGAAAACACAACCTGATTCCTGAAAAGTCTAAGAAAACAGAGAATCTATCTGGGGACATCTCCTCATCACAGTAACTGTCATCTCATATACTAGTAACTACCTCAGTCTACATTGTTCTCCTAATATGATGCCTACTATCTAGAAAATAGTTGTATAATTGAACTTCCAGTGCTGTATTGTAAAACAGCAGAGGTAACCCTAACTCTGTCAGACCATTAGTCTCCAGATTTAGAATTTTATAGTTTACAAATAGTTTGATTATGGATTTTTCTCTATTCTTCTCTCTCAACACCAGATATTCCTTTAGTTCAGTAGTTCTCAACCTTTCCAATGCCACAACCCTTTAATACTGTTCCTCATGTTGTGGTGACCCCCAACCATAAAATTATTTTTGTTGTTACTTCATAACTGTAATTAAAACACAGATATTTACATTACGATTCATAACAGTAGCAAAATTACAGTTCTAATAGCAAAAGCTTGGATGCAATATATACCTGAACTATTGCTTTACTTAATTGGCACTCAGACATATATACTTTGCACTCTAGGATGTATGTACCATCCCTGATAAACTTTAAATTCGAGAACAGAAACCTTACATTTGGCACTATTGTACATACAAACACTCAGTATTTAAAAATATTTGACAAAAGTCAGATAATACACACACACACACACACACAGTCATCACTCTATTGTCAAAAGAATTGAACATCAATGTATAATCTAGATTTTTTTTTTTTTTAAATGTTAAAAGGGAGGAGGGCAGAGCCCTGGGTTAAAGTCTTAGTTCTTCTATTTACCAGTAGTATAACTTTAGTTGAGTCACTTAGTTTATGATACATATCTATAAATAGGAACAATACATGTCCTAGTTACTTCACAGAATATTATCAATTAATGTAGTTAAAAGTTTTATAATGTATAGCCCAGGCAGTGTGGCTCAGTGGTTGAGCATTAACCTATGAACCAGAAGGTCAAGGCACATCCCCAGTGGGAGGTATGCAGGAGGCAGCTGATCAATGATTCTCTCTCATAATTGATGTTTTCATCTCCTTCCTCTCCCTTCCTCTCTGAAATTAATAAAAATAAATAAGTTATATAATGTATAAATTGAACCTTATCATAAAAATACATGGTATTATTACAGTAGATATAAATTTTTTGTTTTTGCTTTGGTCTCACAGTTATTATTTACACTATAGTGGTTACAAAATCATAGCTGGACCCCAGACCAAGAAGAATGGGGGATAGCAAAATCTATCATCTCCTCCCTCTCCCTTCCTCTCTGAAATTAATAAAAATAAATATTTACACTATAGTGGTTACAAAATCATAGCTGGACCCCAGACCAAGAAGAATGGGGGGATAGCAAAATCTTTCATCTCCTCCATCTCCCTTCCTCTCTGAAATTAATAAAAATAAATAAGTTATATAATGTATAAATTGAACCTTATCATAAAAATACATGGTATTATTACAGTAGATATAAATTTTTTGTTTTTGCTTTGGTCTCACAGTTATTATTTACACTATAGTGGTTACAAAATCATAGCTGGACCCCAGACCAAGAAGAATGGGGGATAGCAAAATCTGACCAGTTCTAGGCTCATTTTTAAACAAGCTGTTCTAAATGAGGCTTATAGTGTCTAAGAGTTTTTCCTCTAACATAGATTTATTTAGGATAATAAAAAAGAAAAAAAAAAACAGCACTAGGAAAATATAATCCCCTTTTTTTAGACACTAGGGGACCATCATTCATTTTTACTAATGTTCTATAGAAGTGACTCTCAGGAATTAAAAACTTTTTAAAAATATATATATATTTTAATATATTTTATTGATTTTTCACAGAGAGGAAGCGAGAGAGGATAGAGAGTTAGAAACATCGATGAGAGAGAGACATCGATCAGCTAGCTGGCTCTTGCATACCCCCCACTGGGGATGTGCCCACAACCAAGGTACATGCCCTGGACCGGAATCAAACCCGGGACCTTTCAGTCCGCAGGCAGACTCTCTATCCACTGAGCCAAACCGGTTTCGGCTTAAAATATATTTTATTGATTTTTGACAGAGAGGAAGAAAGAGTGATAGAGAGTTAGAAACATTGATGAGAGAGAACCCGGGACCTTTCAGTCCACAGGCCGACGCTCTATCCTCTGAGCCAAACCAGTTTCAGCAGGAATTAAACACTTTTATAGATGACTAAATATCTTTTTGCATCAGTTCTGTGAAATTGCAGCCAAATTGTAACTCGGAAAGTTAAAAATTACTCATCCTATTCAATGTCCATTGAAAACGGCTTTAATTTTCCTCCTGGGTCACATTTACACCCTCATGGGTATTTTATTTCTCCCCCTTATTATTTAGCTCCATAGCCAGGAGTTACACTCTCCCTTTATTACACTCCCCCTTTATTATTTAGCTCCAAAGCCAGGAGATACACTCCTCCTTTATTTAGCTCCATAGCCGGGAGATAATGTGAAAGGAAACAAAAACAATGTCATATTGTAGTACATTGCTTTGCAGCTGTACAACAGCTGTCACTTTTCACTAGAGGCGGCTGCCTTTTGGGAAAGCTGAAATGATCCCTGTGTGGAGCAAAGAAATCAGTTTGTAGAGCATTTTAAGCAAAAAGGTGCTACAAAATCTCAGCTGTTATTGATGAGAAGCCCAGAGGTGGAGAAGTCATTGTTACAGATTCCCAATCTGTGAGTATCCCTACGGGAGCAATTTGGCATCACCGGGAAAGAGTCTCAGCTTGATGTGATTGCTTTGAGTCCCCAATTTAATTTCAATCACCCAGCCAAGAGACAGACATGTCTGTCCTTCAGAATAACAGACTACTACAGATCTTGACTGCAGAGTATCCTGAGTAAAGTCTCTAACCTTTTCTTCCTCCCCCTATAAATAACATTATTAAGAGACCTAAACATCATGTGTTTTAGATGCATCAAGGGTGTTAAATATTGTAAGCCAATGCAATGGAAGATTGCCTGAATTTTTCAGGAAGTGTTTTAATGAAAAACATTCTGACAGACATTACTAAATCTGGAGATCCCCAAGAAATCAACAATATAGGTTCTCTGCTGCCA